GATTTAGATGGTCAAAAAAAAAAAAGCATGACAGATTGGCGATAAATCTTTTAAAATCAGATGCACTTTGTAGTATGTGATTTATGGATTATATTGTGACTGACTTCCTTTTAGTAAGAATGTCATGATAGGAAGCAGTATATAATTATTTTCTTTAATGTATCAAATGCCCAAAGGAAGTGGGTATTAAATATAAAGGACACATGCTACACAATGTTGGAGCAAACACGCATTCTGTTTTTTGAAATTCCCTAGGAGAATTCGTTTTTAATGTCTTGCAAAGCCAAGTGGTTGTGGTTAACCTTGAAGTCTTCAGCAAGTGAAAGATGCTTGTAGTTTGTAGCCTTAACATGGCTGATCAAGTTTGGTTTTGAACCATAGTGCAACTTGGATGATGGTTTTCAGAATGCCTAATGGCCATTTTGCTAGGAAAGACAAAGTTACCATAAATTTAAAAATGTACTTTCTATATAGCACCACATTGAAAAATTTCAAAGCTGACATCTGTATTTTGGTAATTTGACTAAGACTCCATTCTATTTACAGTGACCCACTTCCTAATGACAGTCATTCTTTTTGAGTGGCTCGACTAGGACCCAATGGCCTAACTCATCTTTTGCTCCTACATCTGAGTGCTTAGCCCACACTTTCTTCTTCAGTTGTGTTTGTGCTGATGTTTGTGAAGTCAGTTGTCATGTCGATTGCCATCTGGTTCTCTGGACACTGAGTCTGTCTTCTGCTGAGTGATACTAGATCATTCGGAAACTGGGCTTGGACGATGTTAGCTGAAACCCTTGCTGAATTACCCATGACTTTAGAGCTATACTTTTGCCTAAGGTTTGTTTTTATATTACTTCTTACTAAGAGGAGTATTGTAAACCATCCTCTGCCTGTCTGTAAGACTATTGCATGTTACTTCCTTTTTCAGCCCATATATAAAACAAAATGTGAAAAATCTCTTGATAGTTGTAGAAACCTTTACTTTCTTTACTAAAGAATTCCTTTTCATTTTAGAGACAATAAGAGGTAGATAATTCACTTGGCATGGAGCCAAATTTGGATGTAATTTCAGCAGTCTGTCATGAAAATTGGTGAGTTAATTGAAACATGTTATGTATACTAGTAGTTAGCAAACTGTGGCTCACTTAACACCTGCCTTTTAAAATAAGATGATACTACAATGTAGCCGAACTAGTTCTTTTTTAAGATTGAGTTTATTTTTAATTGTGTGTATGTGTGCCTATGTGTGTATGGGATGTGGGGTGGGTACTGCAGAGACCAGAAAAAGGTGTCCGATCTCCTGGAGCTGGAGTGACGGGCAGTGTTGAGTCACTCAACTTGGGTTCTGGGAACTGAATTCAGGTCCTTTGTATAAACAGGATGCATGCTCCTCCTAATGGCTGAGCCATCCCTCTAGCCTTTGATAGTTTCTTTTCTTTTTTAGAAGTTGATAGTTTCTTAAATATTGTCTACAGTTGCTTTTGTCTGACAATTTCATATTTGAGTAATTAATATCTGGCCCCTTACAGAAAATGATTTCTGGTAAATGAACCTGGGATGGTATGAGTCGGACCAAAGGCAGTAATAAAGAAGAAAGGAAATTAGTGTTAGATGTCGCCAGTTGGGAAAGGCTTCACAGATGTGGTGTGAAAGGAATTTAGTCTTAGGTAGTGGGAACATATAGAGGATAGTCCATGTGGGCGACAAGTTCAAATCCAATCCCTTAGGGATGGGCCGATTTCGAGCTCCTGGGGCTGTTTGGAAAACTCCTTCACCTGGGTCGGGGTTACAGCTGTGAAACTGAAGGTGAATGGCTAACTTGATAGACAACTCAGAAGCTAGGCATCAGCCTTTACACTTAATCTGTGAGGCAGCTGAAAACCTTAGAGTTCTCCTCAGAGAATGATGAGTTTCTTCACAGGGTAGAAACTGTTTGAGGAGAGCCAATCAGGCAGAGGTACAGGGAGCACGGTCCAGATCTGAGAGCCTCAAGACTGATGAGGTACTGGAGAAAGCCCACAGGGAAGAAGCAAGTCTCCTAGGGTAAGGGGGAAGAGTAAATGCGGAGCTAGAAACCCAGTGCCCTGTGGCTGAGTTTAGAAAGTGGTGGTGAGGGAAACTGAGAGGGAACGGAGAAGGAGCACTGCATGGTTAATAGCTCTTCTGAGAGGAAGAGCAAGTTTGTTTCGACAGCTGAGGTCTGCTGCGTTTGGAACCCATAGGAGCGAGTTAAGATCTGGACTCAGTATTTGCTATGAGTTCCCATTGAGGGACAAGAACAGGCCGAGAGGCTGGATGTCAGAAAGCACCGGGAAAGTGGCGACTGCTGTAGAGCACTGTTTCCCGTGTGTGTCTGGGAAAGACTGCTGGCGAGCAGCTTGATTGCATGATCAAATACACATGTCTCATAGACTCTGGATTAAGCAATGTTAGATTTCTTGCTTTGGTCCTCTTCAGTTCGTTAATAAATGTATGTAATTATTTACATCTCTGGCTAAAGCCTTTCCTAATTTAGATTCACATGTCTTGTTTAAAAATTAAAAAAATTGTGTGTGTGTATGTGTAGGTCTGAGGACAACTTATTGGAGTCAGTAAGACTTCCTTTGAGACAGGATTTCACTGTGTAGCTCTAGCAGGCCTAGAGATGGCTGGCTTGAAACTCACTATATAGATCAGGCTGACCTTGAACTACCAGAGATCCTTCTGCCTTTTGAGTGTTGGGACTAAAGGCATACACCAATATCTTCAGTGCCTTCCACCTGGTTAATGTAGGGTCTCTTGGTGTTCATGCTGTGTGGCTAGTGAAGCTCTAGGGTCATTATGTAGCCCTGTCTGGCATGGCACTCCTGAAGTAGACCAGGCTGGTCTCACAGGGATCTGCCTACCTCTGCTCTCAAGTGCTGAGATTAAAGGCATGCACCACTATGTCCAACCTACGTTTTCTATAAGAAAAAAAGTATTTTTTATTGTAAAATTTGAAGTTTCATGGCAGTAGACACTTTGGTCTGTTTTATTTATTTTGTAGCCTAGGCACCCAGAACACTGCCTAGATATATGGTAGCACTTTAATATGTGCTAAACAAGTGAATGAATCCCAAGATGTGAGTGTATGTCTTCACAGACCACCCCCAGTCTCATCCCCTCATCTCCCTTTCCTGGGTCTCCTAAAGGTTCACTTTGGGTATTCTGTTATAATATGTTGTGGAATTAAAAGAAAATTCAAGAAAGTTGCAATTGACACAGTTGGGGAAATGAAGAAACAGTGATTTGCTTAAGGTCATGAGTACATTTAGGTGGGGGAGGAGTTTGCCATCCCAGAGCAAATTGTGTTGGTGCTGTGAATTGTCAGATTCAGGGGGATAAAGTTGCACATAGGTGTTGAATCAAAGAGTCATAAATTATTCTCAGGGAACTTAACTCTGAAGAAGTGAAAGTAGTTAAAGACAGCTTCAGTACAGCGCTTCTGTGTGTGTGTGTGTGTGTGTGTGTGTGTGTGTATGTGTGTGTTTATTTTTCATGAAGTAACTGTGTTACTGTAATGAAGGTGTGTTAATGTGATGTAAGGATCGAAGACTAAGGGATTTAACTGGTAGTTGTGATGGGCTTCTTGCTGGCACAGTTTTGAAGCCTCTCATGTATCGTATAGCAAGAAACAGGAATGTGTTTGAGTCATTCCTGAGTTGTCTCCTCCTCCTCCTCCTCCTCCTCCTCCTCCTCCTCCTCCTCCTCCTCCTTTTCTCCTTTTTTTTTCTTTTCTTTTTTTTCTTTGAGACAGGGTTTCTGCCTGGCCTGGAACTTGATCTGTAGACCAGATTGATCTCAAACTCAGAGATAAGCCTGGCTCTGCTTCCTGAGTGTTGGGATTAAGGGTGTGTACCACTACTGTCTGGCTTGTCTCCTTATAAAACTACTACAATTCAATGAAGAAGGTCATGCCCTATGACTTTATTAACCCAAATCACCTCTTAAAGGCCACACCTCCTAACCCTTTATTTCAGCTTACTTTTCACTCTCCTAAGAGCCCACAATTGAGGTTAAGTTTCAAAGCACAAATCCTTGGGGGTACATATTCAAACTGTATTCAAAACAGAGCATCTTGTGTGTGGACAGTCTTTACATTGTGCTGTAATTAACATGATGAGGTTAAAGCATCCTGGATTTCAAGGAATAGGATTGGATGGGATGAGTTCTGCATGGGAGTTGGATAAATTGGGCCCCTAAGGCGATCCTCCTATTCTGTGTCCCCTCCTCTTTTTGAGAGCAGAAGGATTGAGAGTTCAGTGTAAACAAAAAACACTGGTGCTGATTCCTCCTTTGTTCTTTTAACAGACAAGTAGTTTGTTTGGATGTGCAGGGTTTGAGGTCACAGCTGAACTTCCTGTAGTTTAGCCGAAGTTGGATTCTTGCTGAGATCAAAGCTGGTATCAAAAGGAGGTGTAAGCTTAAACAGTTTTGCCACAGTTTGATTCTCCTTTAAACTTTTTTTTAAAGGCTTATTTATATTTTATCTTATATGTATGCAGGAATGCCTGAGTATATGTGTGGATACATGCATGTGCCTCAGATACTGTGAGCTGCCATGTGGGTGCTGGGAGTTAAGAGTCAGTTTTTTTTGTATGGGAAGTCAGTGCTCTGAACCACTGAATCCTTTTTTAGCCCTCTCTTGTGAGTTTTGATTCATGAAAGGATTAACTTTTATTTTAAGTATGTGGCTGAGCTTTGGGATTAAAATAATTTGTTTATTAATGGTTCTGTTATATGAATTCATCTGTTTCAGGGTTAACTTGTGGGAAAACACCAACATTTTTAGTTTGTTTATCTACAATATCCTTTGAGGGCTAAAGTGGTTAACAGCAGAGGTTATGCTAAGAAGTATCTGCAGGGCTTTCTGCTTTATTTTCATTGTTAGCTTTTAAAATTACTTTTATACTACTTGAGGAATAATTGGTTTGAACTCTAAGCAATTAGAGGGTTAATATATCTCTTCTTTTTAATTACAGAAACTGTGTATATACCTGTGAGAGAAGCAAAAATGTCAGATGATATCAAGAAAAGGTTTGATTTTCCGAATTCTCTTATCCAGTCACAGGTAATTTTTATTTATTTTTGCTTCATGGTAACAGATGGACACTTTTGATGGACCATAAATTGAACTTTATATTTTCTCATGAAATATTTTCTTCTTACTCATGGCTTATTTTAGTAAGCAACATTTATATGACTAGTAAGTATATTTTAATTAGAAAAACTAATATTTAAAATTGTTCAATTTCAACTTCTATTTATTTTATATGTTTTCACCCAAGAAATAATCTTGATTAGTAGAGTTTTGAATATGGTTATTCTTTTTGCCTGTGTTTAATAATTGGGAACAGAGGTAGATGGCTTCTTATATATCTCCACAGAATATGAAAGACTAATGTTTAATATGATATATTCTACCTCTCTATAGCTATTAAGAATACTAGATTTCAGAATAATGATGTTTAATAATTAAAGCATTCTGGATTAATGTGATATGTACCTGCTGAGATGGGAAATAGGAATAATTTAATTTATAGAACTTTTCAATAATTAAGACAAGTGGTTAAACCAGTGACTGTTTCTATCTGCTAGCTAAGTAGAAACATTCTAGTAAACCTGGAAACCATAAGAGCTTAATGTCTCTTCCTACGAGTAAAGCTAAACAGCCAGCCAAAGCCAGGCTGAAGACTTAACCCAGACACTGTCTTGGATGCTTCAGCAGTTGCCTTTGGAGATGCCTGCTGTGGGAACTGACTTAGCTGGGAAGTGGGGAACCCTTCCATGAGGAGTAGAACACTCCTTATGCAAGATTCCCTTCTACCTGGCTGGGTTGAAGTCATATCCTGCTCTGTGCAACGCAGGCCCATCCCCTGAAAAAGAAGATGAGGAAGATATTGTTCACAGTTTCCATTTTTCTGTGTCTGTGTAACCTTCATTAACATAAATAAAAAGGAAATGCTGACATGTGTTACAGTTAAATGAAGAAAAAATATGTATATGTATTATTGTCTATTGTCTATTTCAATTTGATTATGGAAATGAAGTAGCAAGGTAGTATAATGTATCAAATGTGTAGGTGTCTCAGAACCGTGTAGGCTACTTAGGCTAAAAATATCTCTGATGTTTTTAAAGATGAGTGAGACAGCAGAATAGGGAAATTGAATCTGGTGAGTGGGGAGATGTGTAACATGAAGTTTATTTTCTTTTAGTCCTTTTTCTAAACGTGGGCAGTAGCATTTTTGTGTGTCTCTGTTGTATTTTATGTTGGTCCTTAGGTTTTTATGAGTGTGCCTTGTCCTTATGAGTCATATACCAATTGCTCTTTCTTAACCACTGCTTTGAGATAGAACCACATCCCATTGATTGACATTCAGTCTTTTGGCATATTGGAAATTAGATGGTGTTTAGCAGCTGCTGATGGCAGCTGAACTACAGTGGATACTGCAATATACATTTATGAACTTGCCCATTATTTTCTAAGTGACTCTAGAAGAGTTCTATGATTAATCTAAAATCAAAAATTCAAATTATAGGTAGCACTCTTTATCATAGATTAATTGGCAGCCGTTTTATTTCTTGGTGATGAGTATTGTTGCATCCTTTCAGCTGATGGCCAGATATTCAATGACACATACAGTATAGTTTGTGAAATAGAAACTTAGGGTTCTCACTGGTCCTCAGTTTTTTTTATCCTTTTGCTAGGAGATAAGAGACAGCAAATTGAACTACAGTTTGCCTTTATCTAAGTGAGTGATTTATTTCTCGAAATTCGAGCATTGAGGTCTTAAATCATTTGCACATCAGAGCATTTGAAACACACGTGCACGTGTGCATGAAGGGAGCGGGTGCTGTGTAGTTCTTTGAGCTTTTCTAGAGACTTTCCAAGACTGACAGCTGTTTTCATCACTATTGTAAATGGTCCCAAGTGCAGGATGTACAGTTGTAGTAGTGGAAATTTCCCTAGCTGCATACAAAATAGTTACCATTGTTGCCAGTCAATTTCCCTGTCAGTCAGCAGTGCTGGTTAGGCCTGAAGAACAGGACCCGACACTGAGGCAGAGGAGGTGACATTTATGTATTTGTGTAATCAACTCTCCTAAAGCTTGATTTTCATTTTGGGCTCTTTAACTAAAGCAGGATGAGGGAAATTTTATTTCTCAAAATTCAGTGCTTGAATTGAATATCTGGCCATCAGCTGAGACTGAAAACTTAAGACCTATGAGACCCAAAACCTATGAGAAAGGGATAAATAAATTAACATAAGGCTATGAAATGGCTCAGTGGGTAAAGGCACTTTGCACTAAACCTGAGGATGATGTGAGTTCGAATCTCTGGGCCTATATGGTAGAAAGAAAGAAGTGACTTCTTCAGCTTGTCTTCTCTTCTCCACATATGGGCTGAGGCTCATATACTAGCACACGCACGCACGCACGCACGCACGCGTGCATGCACACACACACACAGGCAGACACACACACACACACGTTCACACACACACACATGCACGCACACACTCACACACACACACATCCCCCCCCCAAATGAATGTAAAAACATTAGAGAAAATGAAAATAGTAGAGTCTAGAGGAGAGGCAACAGGGTAGAGGAAGGAAGAGATATTTTTCAGTTCTGTACAGGCTGTATCCATAAAAGTGAGGGTGAATTTTTCTCCATTTTCACTAAGGACACCATGAAACATGACAGATTGGATTTAGATACAAAGAAAGTTTTAAAGACAGGGGTTATTTGTCTCATGTTTTAATGGATTATGTAGTTCCAAATTATCTTTAATATTAGGTGACAGGAATTTGAGCTGAAGGTTGATGATGTTAGCATCTATAAAGTATGGTTTGTTTATTGCTGATCTGAGATAAACTGCCTACTTTGAAGATTGTTCTGAGGATTTGGGTTACACATGTTGAGTACCTCATTCAGTGCTTTCTACATGGCACACAACAAAGGGACTTTCGTCTTACCAGTTGACAACTTGGCTTGCACATACATGAAAATGAATATGATGTTGATTCTTTTTTAATGCACTCTTTGGAAAGAACTTCTAAGTGAATATCTTCATTAATTTTGTTTGTTCTTTTAGGCTGTAGGTCATCTTATTGCTGCTGTCTTAAAAGAACATGGTGTTTCAGAAAAGATACACCAGTCCACAAATCAGGTCTGTGTTTAACTTTGATGTGTGTGTGTGTGTATGTGTGTGTGTGTACACCTGCCACTGGCTGGCTTTTTGTCAAATAGATACAAGCCAGGATCATCTTGAGAGTAGGGAGCCTCAACTGAGAAACTGCACCATTAGATTTGCTTATGGACAACTGTAGGACATTTTCTTGATTAACAGTTGATGTGGGAGAGCTCAGCTTACTGTGGAAGGTGCCCCCTGGGCAGGTGGTCCTGGGTTGTAGAAGAAAGCAGGCTGAGCAGGCTGGGAGAGTAAACCAGAAATCACTACTCCTTCATGGAGTCTGCTTCAGTTCTGCTTTTAGTTTGCACTCTGATTTCTCTTGATGATGGACCGTAAGCTGAAATACACCCTTTCCTCACCTGGCTCTTTTTGGTCGTGGTTCTTGTCACAGGAATTGGAAGCAGACTAAGATAATCTGCTTGCCTGTTTTATGGGAATAGTTGTGCCTGTGGGGCCACTCATCCATTTTCCTTGTAGTTCTATTCAGTGTGGAAATGATCTTGAACTGTGAGTTTTGCCTACAGATCTTGTCATTTTCCTCTTCCTTATCCTCTTGCCCTCTGCCTTTCCCTTCCTTCTCACCATTTCTTCCATCTCCCTTATCTCCTTCCCTCATTTTCCCTTTGGTGTGCCATGTTTTTATTCTATATCATTCTATTAAGCTTGGACATTTGTGACTAACTCCAGGAGTAGCCATGTAATGGGTGAAGGAGGGTATCAGTTGCTATTGGTGGAAATCTGAGGGAGGGCATGAGGAGGATACACTGAGAAGGTGACAGAGTCTCCTCTGAGGGAATGCTTTTAGCAGTAGAGACAATGGACACAGTGGTGGGCTGTGTTTGGGTGTGAGAGCTTTCTCATGTTTCATCTCAGCCCTGAGTGTGAGTTCTAAGTGGGAAAAAACCTGTGTTGACAGCTGGAGTTGGAAGAAAGCTTCCCATTCCCACACAGCAGGTAAGTACCCAGATTTAAAGCAGTTCCTAGGTGCTGAGACACATCAGTTGGGGTTTGGCCAGTTGGCCTTGTCTATTTTGACTTGTTAGATGGGAAGTTGCTAAGCACAGGTGCCTGTGTATAAACTACAGAAATAAGTTTCTCTCCTCCAACAAAAACAAATCAACTTACTTTCTCTTTGTTACACCTGAGTATGCATGTGTGTATTTGTGCATGCAGATGTGCCTCAGTATGCTTTGGTGTATCAGAGGACAGATTGTGACAGTCTGTTTTCTTCTTTCACCACGTAAGTCCTAGGATTTGAACTCGATCTGTCAGGTTAGACAGCAAGCATCTTTGTTGACTGAGCCTCACATTTTTTCTGATTGGCCACTCTATATCATATATCTTCACAGTGCCTGTTGACATGCGGAAGGAAGTGTAGTGGTGTGTTTCACTAATTGGCATTTATCTAGTGTTTGTAATAGTCATGTAAATCAGGTTTCCTGAGAAGCCCGATCCCAGTCCTGCCTGTAATCACATTATGTACTCTGAGAAGACCTAGTGATTTTACTTAAATTGCTGGGATTTATTGAATGCTAAATCCTTTTAACTAAATGTTTCCTCTTCCACTAATAAATGAATGCCTACCTCCACCAGGACAGTATCATCTTAGGCGAGTTTATTCATCCATTTATCTTATTTCTCTGGCTTGGTAGTGGAATGATGGCATTTAGGACCCTGGGCTATTGTGGAAACAAATTTCTTTCTAAATAAAAGGGGAAACAATATAAAGATTTCCTTTCTACAGTACTGACTTTTTACTCTGTTCTTCTTTAATAGTGGGTCTTACGACTGCAGAGGTTTTCAGCAGCTACAGAGGAGTGAAGCACAGTGTTGTTCAGTGGGAGCTGGAGACCCTGAGTTTTCCTTGAATTGTAGAGTTTTTTTTCTTCTTTTCAATTTGGTGTGTTAGTGTGTGGTGTGTGGTATGTGGTGTATATGTTTATGTGCAGTGTGATGTGTGGTATGTATGTGTATGGTGTGTGATGTGATGTGTATGCTTGATGTGTGTGTGTATGGTGTAATATGATGCAGTGTGTATGTGCATAGTGTGTGGTATGGTATGTGTGTGCAATGTGTGTGATCTGGTGTGATGTGTGTGTGTGTGGTGTGGTATGTACATGTGGTATGTGATGTGGTATGAGAAGTGTGGTGTATATGTATGGTGTGTGCTGTGCTAAGTATATCTGGTGTGTATGTATGTTGTGTGATGTGGTATGTGATGTGGTGTGGTTCATGTGTGTATGGTTTGTAGTATGTATATGTATCTGGCATGTAGTACGTGTGTGGTATATGGTGTTGTGGTGTGTTTGTATTTGGTGTGTGTGTATTTGGTGTATGATATGGTAAGCAGTGTGATATGGTATGTGTGTATGGGGTGTGGTTTGTATGTGTGTGTGTGTGGTGTGTGGTATGTATAGTATATGTGCATGTGGTGGATGTGGTGTAGTATGTGGTATGCAGTGTGGTGTGGTATGCATGTGCATGGTTGGTGTGTGGTTTAGTGTGTGTTGTGTGTGGTGTATGATATATATGTGGTGTGTGTGTGGTATATGATGTGTGTGTATGTGGTGTGGTGTGTGTGATAGGTAGTATGTGATGTGGCTGGTATGTGTTGTATATGGTATATATTGTGTGTATGTGTTGTGGTTGGTGTGGTTTGTGTGTGTGTGTGTGGTATGTATGATGTTGTATGGTATGCATATGTATGTGTGTGATGAATATGTGCTCTATGCACAAACGTGTGTGTGGTATGTGTATGTGTGTGTGTGGTGTGAGGTATATGTGTATTGTCTGTACAAGTGTGTGTACTGGTGTGCCAACCTTACACATGAGTGTGAAGGTTATAGGAGGTAGTTGGGTGTCCTGTCCTATGTTCTGTTACTCTCAGCCTTACTCCCTTGAGGCAGATCTCTCAGTGAGCTGAGAGCTTTGGTTTCAGTTAGATTAGAGGCTGGCCAGCCCCAGTGTGCTTCTCTCCTGCTGTGCTGACCTTACAGTCTGTTATGCTTGTGCTACAAGTCTTCTCTCCCACTGAGCCATCTCCACAGCCCTGAAACATATCACTCTATCAAACTGTGTCAAAAGAAAAATATAGCTTCATTATGAGTTTATCATCATTAATTTTCTTATTACTTTAAATTATGTGTAAGTATGTACATGTTCTGGTCAAGCTAGTTATAGATGCTTAATGCTGCTTTCTGGGAATCGAACTTGAGTCCTCTGGAGGAATAAGCAGTATGTTCCCTTAGACACCGAGCCATCTCTACAGCTCTTTATTACTTATTATTATTAAGTAACAAGGTTATTTGTAGTTTAGGCTGATCTTGAATTTGCTATGTAGCCAAGGACTCTTGTATTCTTACCTCATCCTTCCTAAGGTTATATTGTTATGTTACCATGACTATTTCCTTTAATTAAAAAAAAAAACAAAAAAGGAGGTAAACCTCAACAGATTTAACCCAAAATACATTTAAATGTGGATTTATTATTTATTAGTGGATCTTTCTGACACGAGGGGTCTAATAGTTCTGAAAAAGTTAAAAACCTGAGCAGTTCTGTTTTCAGAATCAGAATTTCTGTTGACTTGTGTTCTCATCTGGTATGTTTCTGTTAATGGATGCAGATTTTCAGAGTGAGGGAAAAGTCATGGCATTTTTCTTGGCAAACCAATTCTTTGCCGATATGTTGCTAGCCATTTCAATGGGCAGTTGCTGGTCCTCTGTCCTGCACGGCTCCCACTCTCGTGGCCCACATTTGTGTTGAGAGGTTTCAGCACAAGTGTGGATGGAGCTGAGGTGCATGTAGGTCACAGAGGTTGGTAGTAGAAGAGTGGGAACACTTGGAAAATGTCATTGCCGTAGAAGCTTTAGGCACAGACAGTATTTGGAGTTGAGCTTGGTGAACTGATAGACCGATGAATACTGTTGGGGTCCAGTCAAGATTTTCAGCTCAGCAGGTGATAGAACCAAGTCATCACTGTGCTCTGATGCTTGAATTTGGCTTGTACGTCTGCTTCAGCCAGCCTTATTGTGTATGCAGACACCAGGGAGAGAGATACTGCATCCAAACAAATCTATCCCCTTTCCTGGAAGCCAGATTTTAGTTCCCTGTAGGAGCAAAGTGACAACAGCATCCTCCTTGGTACAGAAGCTAGCCCACTGTGAGTGGATTACATGTTGATGAGTGGTTGTGCTTGCATGCGTGCTTCTCCTCACCCTAAGTGTCTTTTAATCACTGGTTTGCTTTCAGACGGCTGCCTTGAACTTGCTGTGGGAGAAGTGCTGCAGCGACAATGTGGTGGTGCGAACAGCCTGCAGCGAGGGACTGGTGGCACTTGTCGCTCAGGGTCATGCAGAGTTCAGCTATGTTCTCAATGGGATACTCAACCTGATTCCTTCTGCCAGGTACATGTGCTGCCGTGTTTGTTTAAAGGTTTTAGAAATACAGCTAATTGATTCCCTGTTAAGGATCACAAATTTGTGTTGCAATAATGAACTGACTTATTTTAAGAAGGAGACATGGTATAAGCATTTCTACTCACACAGTGACAGGGTTTTTACCTTGTATTGTCTATCTGCAGTCAGCCCTTGGCTCCAGTGATGTGTGTTAGAAAATTATAGGATGAGTTTTTCTTAAATATTTGATGACATAGGAATGTGTCTTCTGAGTATTCTTAGAGGGCAAGTTCTTTTAACTTGTTTTGAATGTCATATTTAGTCCATTCATAGAGAGAAGGTAATAGAATGGTGTAGGTTTGCTCCTTTTTAAAATAGTCCAACAGGATCATGTTTGAAGCAGAAGCACCTGTGGCATCCTCTCTGAAAGATGAGAGTTGGGTGAGGCTCTGTGATGCAGCGCTTACCTTTAGGATATGTAAGGCTCTGTGGTATAGTGCCTATCTAGGGTGTTTGAGGCTGTGTTCTTGCACTAGCTCTACCAACAGAAGAAAACAGAAAAGTTCAGAACAAAAATATGAAACCAACTCCCTGAACAAAGAGAAGTTGCTGCTCTTTGGTTGGTGAAATGATTTTCTGGAAAAGTGTTTACATTTAATGAACCTCCCTGTGTGGCTTCGAGCCACTCAGATACAGGCACCCCATCATAACTTGTCCTTTCCTTTGCCCTTCTGCTGACAACTTTGGTTTTCATGATGACAAGGGATCCTGCTGTTCTGCAGAACTTCATAGTAACTCAGTCACACCACATCAGGGATGGGGCAACTCCAGTCTTTTGTGGGGAACATTTTCCTGAGACTGCTCCCTGACCAGTCCACAATTTATCCAGGCAGACAGTTGGCCAGAAGCTCTGCTTTATTTTTAAGTGGTAGTGCTTTATACCAACTTCCTGAAGTGACCTGGATGATGGTCCAGCTGTGGCTGGGGTTCATGTGGCCCTGGAGCTTTCCAGTCTTTCTTGTTCATTCTCATGTGTTCTTTCGTCTCACGTCATTGTCACGGCACAATGTGGAATGTTTAATCTCTTTTATGACTCCAGAGTAGCTGTGACTGTCAGTGTGTAGAGAGCATTCCACTTTGGATCTGTCAGTCTTCATTACGTCTATTCCTTTAACTTTTTCTTTTTAATAAAACCTATTCTCTTCTCTCTGGTCACCTCTTTGTATATTATTTGATTATAGGCTTTCTTTCATATCTTCCTGTCCATAGCCCTAAACACTGTAACATGTTATACATGTTCTCAAACTAGTCTGGCCTTCCATTTATGTTGTTTTTTTGCATGACCCCTCTACCTGGATAGAATGCAGTTGTTCACCTCTATCTGAGGTGAGTGCTGTCACTTTCATTGTCCTTCAAGAATCAGGCTAAGTGCTTGCACCTTTTCTGCTCCGTGGCTTGTTCTTTTTTTCATGCTATTCTGGCCTGCGTTTTCATATATGACACAATCTTTGAATTTTAGTAGATGACCAGATGGTTCTCAAAAATTAAGGATTGTGTCGTCACTAAAATCTATTCATTTTTGTCTATTCTTCACACACACACACACACACACACACACACACACACACACACACACACACCCCAAGAGAGAGATAGAGAATATTAGTAATTTTAGAAATTGCTTATTAAAAAGTGGTTTTAGGATCCATTAAAAAGTCCCTGTGAGAGGATTTTTGACAGTAAAGATTTTCATGTCTTTCTTACTTATTAGTCGGCTTTAAGTAAGCCATGCAGATTTTTGACTTACTTCTTTAATTTATCAGGTACCAATAATGACGCCCATCCCCCATAGTATTGAACCACTCTAAAATCCATAAGTGTAGAATCTACTTGCATTGTGCATTATATTGCTTGTGCTAATGGGCTCAGTTGGTAAAGGCAACTGTGAGGACTGGTTGAGGGAGGACAGAACCGAGTCCTACAGCTGTCCTCTTGCACGCTGTGGCAGGTGTGCTTGTACACACGCACACAGAAGTTGGAGTTGTGTTTCTTATCAGAGGGCCAGAACAGTGTCTTTGTGTATTTAAATAGCCCTTAGGGCTGGAGAGATGGCTCTCCTTACAGAGGACCTGGGTTTGATTCCCAAGCACCCATATGGTGGCCCACGAGTATCTGTAGGCACATGTATGGTGCATATACATACATACAGGCAAAACACACATGCACATAAAATAAGATCTAAACAAAAGAAAAGAAAAGAGCAGTTAGGCCAGGTTTGGATATTCACCTTTAAGTCTAGAGGATTAGCTTACAAAATTATGCTGACATGGGATATTAATCACACACTAGTATAAATCCTCAATCACTATTATCAACCATAAAGCATAAGCATTGATGATAGTGAGTAAGCCTGCCATCTGTTTATAATTGCCAGTAACAGTATTATTTTTTAAAAGTGCAAATGTGTTTTAGACTAGATATAGCATTTATATGGGCTTAGGAGGCAACATTTCTGGTCTCCTTGCTCTTTGTTTTTCTCTGTAGCTGCAGACCGGTACTGGGTCTTAGTATTTTTTAAAGGGTTTTTTTTTGGTGTGTGTGTGTGTGTGCGTATCTATCTATCTATCATCTATCTATCTATCTATCTATCTATCTATCTATCTATCACATACATATATATAATTTATACATAGCTGTTAACTTTTAAAAGATACATATATTTATATAACTGAAAATTTACATGCACATATTTTCCCTTTTCTGGAAGCCGTGTGTGTGTATGTGTGTGTGTTTGTGTGCATGTGTAATACACACATATATCTGTGTACTGTGTGCATGCCTGGTATCCATGGAGGTCAGAGAAGGACACTGGATTCTTTGGGACTAGAGTTATAGAGGGTTGTGAGCCTGTGGGTTCTGGGAGTCAAACCTGGGTCCTCTGGAAGAGCGGTCAGTACTGAGCCAGTCTCTAGCTCCCATGAAGTATTTCTGATGCTACATTTTTTGATGAAAAAAATTCTATATGAGAACTTGTTCCATAAATCCATAGAACATAGAATTTTGTGATTTTTTTTTTCTCGATGCATATCTACTGTATGGAAGCCTCATAATTTACCATTTTTCCATTTCCAGTCTTACTCAGTATATAGGCAGTGCTTCAGTGACTATACTTTAAGATAATGTTAAGGAAATACATTTAGTTTTTGAGAATTTTATGTACTGTATTTTGATAATATTCACTCCAGCTCTTCCCACATCTATCCCTACCTTCCTACTGACATGACCTTGTATCCTCATTTTCTCTTTAAACCCACTGAGTCTAATTTGTGCTGCCCAAATACTCTTGGCTGTTAGAATATCTTCTAGAGTAAGGTCAACCTGCCGAGCTTACACCCTTCAAGAAACCTTGACTCCCCTCCTTCAGCAGTGATTAAGTGCCATTAGCTCCCCAGTTGGGATGGGACTATCCCCTCCCCATGCTAGGATTTATTTATTTATTTACTTACATCTCTCATGTTGCCCCCCCACCCCACCCCCCCTTGCTGAGTTCCACCTCCATCCCTTCATGCTAGTATTTTTGTGAGGCTACTTCACACTCACCGTGAGCTCATGTGTGTAACTGTGCTGTTGTTTTTGGAAATACTGTTTCACTGCAGTCATCCACTGCCTTTGACTCTTCCCACTGCCTTTTCCTTTATGAACTTGTGTCTTGGGAGAATGGGGTGTCATACAGGTGTCTTATTTAGTCCCGAGCACTCTGCAGTCTCTTACCCTCTTCATGCTGACCAATTAATTATGGGTCTCTGTTCACAGCTATCTTATACTAGAAAAAGCTCCTCTAATGAGAATCAAAATGCAGTAATCTATGAATCTAGTGATGAGATGTTAGGAATCGATTTAATGCTCTGACCATTTATCAGAACAGTTGTAGCAGTTTCTCACCTAGGGCCTGTGACCTATTAGGCATAACCCACCCTGTTCTTAGCTCAGTGATGGTGTTGTGTATAGGTCACAGCTGGTGGAGCAGGCCTTAAATCAAGCCAGAACGTGTTTGGTCCATCCAGTAACAGTCATGCCATTATTGTGCCATTGGCCATATCTCTTCAGGAATATTGTAGGTCTCCAGATTCACAACTGGCCAAGACACTGTTCATTCCCCCACCCTAAACTGGCAGTGTTTATAGCACCTTCCTGCATCGTGAAAGGTAGGCAGTGGGATGACGTTTGTAGGTCAGTGCACACTTGGTTTCTCCATTCTTGTTCTATGACTCAAGTTCTGGAGGGTAACCAACAGCAATAGCAGTAATCTGTAATGTTTTGTGAGGAGTGTGGAGGAGTGTGGAATCCTGCTGGCCAACTCCAACAGAAATGCCCATTTCTGACACTGAACTTTTTATTTTCTAACCTGTGGTTTCTAGTTGGTCACTGCGCTGTATCCATGTTACCACCCACCCGTACTCCCCACCCTCATTCCCCACCCCCTTATAAGGTAATTTCATTTGAACTGTTTTTACACACACACACACACACACACACACACACACAAGTTTCCATATAGCTTTTCGCTTTTTTTTAAAGGTTATTAGTATTAGTTACCCCTCAGCCAGTGAATAATCTTACACATGGGTCATTACTAGTTTTTAGAATTCTTTGGAAAGTTGACCAGAGGTTTAGAAGAAACCCTTTAATTTTATAGTGAGCAAATATTGAAATATCAACAATGAAAGAATGTTGGCTGTTTTTTCTTATCTGAGAAGTTTATGTCATCTAAACTGTTAACTGCGGGGACATGTAGCTGAAATAGATCTGAAGCTAACCAGTTTGCTTTGTGAATATCACTGTGTGAGTGTAGGTACATGTTCACAAGTGCACATGGAAGGAGAGGACGGCTTGAGGCATTGTTTCTTAGGCGAGGTCTGTCATTTCTGTTTTGAATATACACAGATACATCTTTATTACCCCAAATTCAGTTTATTTTAGCGAGAACTCTTAGCATTTTAAGTTTTAAG